CAGAGACCGGTAAATCTTCAGAGCTCACTGGCCTACCCAAAACAGAGTAGCTCTGGGTTGAGAGAAGAAGAGATCCTGTCTTGGACACTAAGAAGAACAGCTGAGAAAGACAACTGAAGCTGACCTCTGGCCTCTGCAAGCTCACACATGGGACACACACGCACACACATACACACACACACACACACACACACACGCACACACACACACACACACTCACAGAGCAATCGGAGCAATATAGCCAGAAGGAGGCAGTTCTAGGATAGAATGGGAGGTCACCATTTTTAAAAGAAGAATCAGAAAGGTTTTTTTGCACAAAATCCCCACATGAAGCAATGGAGGAAGCCTTTTGGACAAGATGAGAACACTGAGCAGAAAGGACAGTCATGCAGATGCCCTGAGACAGGTTGAAGGACCAGTGTAGGACCAAGAGCAGAGGAAAGAGACGTGTGAAGAGGCAAACGGACAGGCAGAAAAGGCCTTTTCACATGCACGCAATATGGAGCCAACAGGACATTAGAGCAGGTAAGTGATATGATCCAGCCTAAGACAGGTAGGTCTCTGGGAACTGGGGGTCCGGGAGCAGCAGCAGGGAGACCAGCAGTGCAGCTTGTCTGTTCTCTAGCTAAATACAGCAGTAAATGCATGATTGTTTCTGGGTCCATGGTTCAGCCAAACACAGCAGAGGAAACAGCACCTATGCTGAGTGTGTTAGGCTTGTCCTTGTCCTGCTCCCTATACACCACAGTGTGACAATTCAGACAGCGTTGACATTGTATCAGACACCGAGGTTACCTAAAAATGACTTCAAGTGCTCAAATGTTTGCTGTCTCTAAGCAAATTCTATACCTTTGTGTAGAAGGGACTTCAAGTCTTTGGATTTTGACATCCTCGGGGTTCCTAAACCCATGGACACCCAGGAATGACTTCATGGCATTATATAGCTGTCTTCCTCCTACGATTTGGGATGTGTTTCTACTTCTAAAAAATAGAATGAAGCTTTCAGAACCACTAATGTGGCCCGAGACTAGAGGTTCCGCTGCTGGAACAGGAAAGCCGCTGTAGGGAGGACTCGGGGAGTGAGGAGCTGGAACAGGAAAGCCACTGTTGGGAGTACTTGGGGAGTGGGGAGACAGCCTGAAAGGACAGCTTGGGAAAGAATGGGTCTCTTGGGGTTTCCAGAGAGAAAATCATGAGGAAGGAGTGGGGACAGGGCAGGGAGAGCTTAACCAGTTGGTGCAGGACTGGCCTGTGCTATCCCAGGCAAAGATAGTTGTTCCTCCAGCTGCTCCCTATTTGCCCCGTGCTGGGTCTCTGAGCCGTGCCCAGATCTGTGAACACTGAAGAAAGAGTCGGGGGGCCAAGAAGCCCCTTAAAGAGCTGCTCCAACCATGAGCATTTGGCACAGATTTGGTGTCAGAGTCAAAGTGTGATCAGCAAAGTTTTTAAAAACCCATTCCTGGGGTGAGCCAGACGTCCCCGGGTCTCCATAGCATAGTTGGGATGAAAAAGCAGCCAGGCAGATACACATATAGAACTGGTGGGGTCAGCAGATTCCTCTAGGACCATGCAGAGCAGGACCAGTGAAGTATCAGTGCCATCCTGCCTTCTGATAAATCCAAGAAGGCTTCCTGCAAGCCGAGGATTCCAAGTCCAGAGGATAAAGAAAAGGGAGGCAGTGAGGCCGAGCATGGGGAGGATCAGACGGACCCAGAGCACCCAGCGTGGTACAGGTGAAGATGGCAAGGCAAAGCCAGGAGGGATGAATGACTGGGCCGCCAAAGAACACGCTGTGTGCTCTGTAGACTACAGGCGACTCAACGCGTCTCAGAAGCTAGGAACTCCAGGGTGGTCAGGGGTGTTTTCCATTCAGTCAGGCTTCCTAGACATGGCCACTGAGAAGCCTTTCTAATTAAGAACCAGTCATGGATTCTTGAGTGGGAGTTCTGACACTGGGTGGGGTCTTAAAAGATGTTAGGCCAGGAGGTAACCGGACCAAATGGCATGAATGACAGCCCCGGAAATAAGAGGCTATAGAAGGACATGATCTGAGTAACCGGGGACACCCACAGAGGCATTTTACGAGGCTCATAGGAAGAGAAATCACTGCTTTTCTTCCAATGAGTAATTCACAGCAGCTTCCCAAAAGAGGCCGCTGTTCCGGGACATTCCAGGCAAAGGTATAACTGCATAGAAGGCTTGGAAGCAGAGACAAGGGTGACGTCTAGTGACAACAGCACCGAGGTTGGTAGTGACTAAGGGGCCAACTGTGAGACCTGTCCCCACCTGTCCTGGAACAGCCAGGGACCTGTGAAGCTATAGGTCCCCTCTCCCTCTTACGCCACAGATGTGTCTCCAGAACAGCTGTCCCCAGCTGCCTGTCCCGTCAGTCTGTGCCACCTCTGAGCAGCACTGAGGTTTGGCCTACCTGTTCCCTTTGTCTTCTACCCAGGCAGTCCAACCAGAGCTTTAGGGGGCCTGCTTCCCTGAGCAGCCTGCCAGGGGGACCAGTGCTGCAATGGCAGGGGGCAGACTTCACCCTGAGGCAGAGACAGCCGTCCTTCCCCTGTGCCTCAAGACACTCGCACAACTTGTACCTATGTTCTGTCCCTGCCTGTCCAGGCCTAGGAGTTTTGTCCTGAAACAGTGGCCAACCAGGCCTTCCCTAGCCTGGTGCCCAGGCCTACTCTGGGTGATGGCAGGGAACACGCATACAGATTTCCATGTGATGGTGAGGAGAAAGCCTAGGACTGAACTGTGTCCCTGAGCTTCAAGGACAGCAGGAGGCGAACCTGATTCAAGCAGCAGAGTAGAGGAGGGCAGAGGCTCCCAGAGTTAAAGTGGGCTTTCCCAGCACCCTCCTGCCTGTTCTCAGCTGTCTCACGGGCATCCCTTTGCCTTCAACGCAAGCTCCAAGTCTACACAAAAGAGAGCCAATGAGGTTACTGTCCAAGCCCTGGAATATCCCCTGGACCCCTGGCAGCAGGGCCCCATATAGGGCTAACAGCTGGGAATCATCCATCCCCTTGCTCCCCCAAACGGCTTCTCCCTCCACCCCCAGGCTCCACCCTGAGTTTTTATAAGAGTGAAATCAGGCCGAGGAGACATTAAGGGCAGCCTTGAAAGGGTAAAGAAGTTGTGAGGTGCAGAGGAGGCGAGAGCTAAGGGTGGGGCTGGAAGAGGCCCACACAGCGGGGGGTGGGGATGCTCCCCGCGGGAGGCACTTGCTCCCTTCCCACAGACCTTCATGATGCCCCAAACAGTCTCCCGGGTTTGTCACCTGCCTCCACCAAAAGGAGGGTTAGAATAGAACCAAGTCCTGTAAGGGAACAGAAACTTTAGGGAGACGAACTTCCAAAGACACGGTTAGAGAGGGTCGAGCTGAACTCGGTCCTGCAGCTTTGATTCAGCTACCCCAGTGGCTAATCCCCAGTTGCTTTCCCTGTTGCTTTCCCTGGAGGTGCCAGTGTGGGAATGTCCTTTGGGGCCCGCTGGTGAGCACCTGGGCTTCCCCACCAGCTGTCCAGAGTCTCTCCACCTCCCCTGATGGTTTGGAGTGGGGTACAGGGTATATACCCGTCTGCCTAATGCCAGGTGAAGACTGAGGTCGGCAGGCCGTGGACATTGGAGCTCTCAGAGCAGAGAGCAAAACATGGTTAGATTAGAATATTGGTCCTGGCAAAAGACCCGGTCTCTAGGCAAGCTCGCCAGCCCTCCTCCTCTAAGGTCTGAATTCCTCAGGTGTCTTCAGAGCCCCCCTGGGGCAGAGACCATATCCTTGGTGTCTGTGCTCCATAAACATTTGCAGAATGGCATCATTATCCTAATAAGTGGCCCAGGGACACACAGGTAACAGGGATGTTAGAGGGCCATGGTTCCCAAAGGCCCCAGGAGACAAAAAAACAGGCCCTCTGACAAGAGTGAACCACCACTCCACTCTCATCTTCCTACATGCAGTGCAGGCTGTAAACAGACATGGAGAGGCAACAGTGCAGGACAGTAGTACGTTCAGTGCAGGCTCTAACAAACAGACCTTGAGAGGCAGCAATGTGGGACAGTCTATGGACAGGTTCCCCGCTCTGGCTGGCGGTTTCAGAAGGGGCAGACACTAACAAGACATGTTTCTTCTTAGGGAGCAAATAGAAAAGGCTCAGGAGCAAGCGGATACCCAAATCGAGGTTCCCTCAAGGTTGGGCATGCCTTCCTGTTTGGGCCACATGGAAGAAAGTGACCGAAGGAGTCTCCCCGTTACCCACAAGTGGTCATTATGTGGCCACTGAAACTTTAGTGGTTTGTTGTTCTGCTAGGTGAGAAAGACAGGCTTTGGACCAAGGTTCTCTGGACCAGAATCCAGACGGTTCCAAGGGACTGTCTTCTCCAGCCCTTTGTCCCTAAGAACACATGGTCAAAATGACCCCTCTGGTCCTAAAGGTGTCTGGTCCTGAACCACCTTCAGGCAACCTGTCTGGGCATGGGAAGCTACTCCAGGGGCAGTGATGGACATAAGAATATGCCTGCATGAAGCCAGGGGACACAGCGAAGCCTTCCTGAGTCTCAGTCTACCTGGGACTCCGGTGATTCTGTGCCCCCCACTGCTACCCATGCCGCCCCCAGATTGCTAATGGGGTTCAAATCCGTCCCCGGGTGTGGGTTGAGGCCATCGCAGAGAGACCGTGTGAAAATTAATTAGTTAATGTATGTAAAGAGCTTTGAAGATGAAAAGTGCAGCGTGGTGTCCCTAATAACATCTTCAGTCTTTTACGGAGCCCACGTCGCCTCTGAGCTCACCTTTAAGATGAGTCTTTGGGGAGTTGCTGGCAACCTCCCCAAGCCCATAAACAACATAAAATGCCTTTTCACTGCTTTTACGCAGCCAACCCCAGCTCTCCCCACCAATAAAAGGACCGCAGAGGATCAGAGAGATCCAAAGGACTCCAAGCCTCACACTCTGCAGCCTACACCAAACCCCACAGCCACTTAGACGCCATCCAACTCACGCGATGTCCTGTCGCTCCTACAGGATCAGCTCAGGATGTGGAGTTACCCGAAACTTCAGCTCCTGCTCAGCTGTGGCCCCTAAAACTGGCAACCGCTGCTGCATCAGTGCTGCTCCGTTCCGAGGAGTGTCCTGCTACAGGGGATTGACCGGCTTCAGCAGCCGAAGTCTCTGTAACCCGAGCCCCTGTGGGCCCCGCATGGCTGTGGGAGGCTTCCGCTCAGGGTCCTGTGGACGCAGCTTTGGATACCGCTCAGGGGGTGTTTGTGGGCCCAGTCCCCCCTGCATCACCACGGTCTCTGTCAATGAGAGCCTGCTCACGCCCCTCAACCTGGAGATCGACCCCAATGCTCAGTGCGTGAAGCATGAGGAGAAAGAACAGATCAAGTGCCTCAACAGCAAGTTCGCGGCCTTCATCGACAAGGTGAGTGTGGTCTGTGATGGCTCAGAGCAGACCTCAGGCCTGACTTCCCTTTGGGAGAGTCCAGTCTGTTGGGAAGACAAATTGGCTGCCAGGTTAGGGACAGGAGAGTGGAAGAAATGCAGACCCACAGAAGTGGATGGGTGCGTGGCCCTCATTTGGTATTTGGAAAGTTCATTATGTAGTCTGGAAATCCAGGCTATGGTTTAAGTGTGTGTGTGTGTGTGTGTGTGTGTGTGTGTGTGTGTGTGTGTGTGCATGTACATGTGTGTATATCTGAGGACAATATGAAAAGGCAGGGGTGTCACTACAAGCCTGGTTGAGGGCAAGAGTGGAAGACAATACAATCAGAAGGCATGGTGGCCTGTGCCTAGGCAGCATGGGCAGTGCGGGGATACTGCTCAGGCCACACTGTCTCCTCGTGGGCTGCCTGTGACACTTGACAGTGTGACCCCCCAGGTGGGATACACCCTTGAATAGCAGGACTGACCTAATGTGTTTCTGTGAAGATTTGAGAGCTCAGTTATGGAAAGGACAAGCCAATAGCAAGCTTTCAATAAATGTCAATGGTTACTCTCTCTTTTTCAAAGACAATAGTAGAGGAGGAAGTGTGACAGCTAAACAAGGCAGAGGGGAAGGAGGTGGGGGAGGCTGGAAGAGAGACAGGGAGGATGCCTGTCTGCAAGGACACCCACCAATACTGGCAAAGTATCAAAGTTGGGCAGCTGCCTCCAAGGGGCTGTGGAGAGGGAGTCTAAAATTCCTGATGCTTTTTTTTTAGTGGCCTTAGTAAATCCTCCAAATCACCCGCTGGGGAGGTCTTAATATCCACATGTAATGACAAATGGAGCTGAGGATGCTCAGGGCACTGCTCGGACATACTGTGGGCCAGTGAAGGCAATAGATGGGGGCTCGAGACAGCACTCCCCCAGTGAGTGTGAACTGGTCCTTACTACCCCGGCGTCTGCCTCCCTCTCTGTGATGTGGAGGAAACGACTTCTGCATCCCCCTCCCCCACAGAATCATGACGAATGAGTAAACTTCACAAACAAATGGTACAGACACAGACACAAATATATAGAACTACAGATACAAAAACAGAGAGAGACAGGCAAAGACATAAAACCAGATACAGAAAAGACAGAAACAGATGAAGACATGGACAAAGGAAAAAATAAAGGTCTTAGACACAGACATAAAGAGTCATAGGGGTGTCAGGTGTGTACGTAGTGAAAGTGTGTGATGTGGTGTAATGTGTGTGGTGTGTGGCAGTGTGTGTGTGTAAGTGGTGTGGTATGTGTGTGCTTATGCATTGAATGGTGTATTGTGTGTGGTGCGTGTGTATATATATGTGGTGTATGTGTGTGCTTTGGGGGTGTGCACACGTGTGTGGAAGGTGTTCCAGACACAGGCCTGGGTACCGCAGAGTGAATGTCAGAGATGTGTTTGTTGGAAAAATGGCTGAACAACCACTAGTAATTAGAGTTGCTTTATTGACTTGCTACCCTTGCTCCATGTCGGGGTCTGTTCCGAACAATACACATGTGTGAACTGGTTCAGGCTTCACAGCTGCAGCACTACTGTTCCAAACAATACACATGTGTGAACTGGCTCAGGCTTCACAGCTGTAGCTATACTGCCATGGAGTGAGTAACACCAAGGGGCTCACCAGTTTGCCCGCCTCAGTCTCAGAACTGGAGCTGGAGCCTGACCCGGCTTTGAGCCAAGTTTGGAGGCGTACAGCCAGCATGAAAGGGCAGAGAGTTCTAGCAAAGCACACCACACCCATAGCACACACACACATAATACGTACACATGCACATACACACACACATACATACACATACCAATCACACATACCACATACATATACACACATACCACACCACAACAAACACACAGCATACTAATCACACACATACAACACACTCCACACCACACACACACCCTGCATGCACCACACACCATACACATCACACACACACACCATAACACACACCACATGCACACAGACCACATGCACACACACTCAAATACACACACATACACACTCCCTAAATTCCCACTAAGTCTCTTTCCTTCCCTGAATGGCAGGTGCGCTTCCTGGAGCAGCAGAACAAGCTGCTAGAGACCAAGTGGCAGTTCTACCAGAACCAGCGCTGCTGCGAGAGCAACCTAGAACCCCTGTTTGGAGGCTACATCGAGGCACTGAGGCGGGAGGCTGAGTGTGTGGAGGCTGACAGCGGGAGACTGGCTGCTGAGCTCAACCACGTGCAGGAGGCCATGGAGGGCTACAAGAAGAAGTGAGTGTGCACACCCACAGGACTCGGAGGGCCGTGGATGGGAAATCTCTGTTGTGGCTTCTCAGGGTCCCATAGGACTTCCTGGGCCTTGGAGGGTGTTGCAGCAGAACCCGGTCCTGAGAGAGAACTGGCTCCCAGGAAGTGAGGGTCTGAATCCACATGGGGGTCCCAGTGCTGTCTTCCCCATTCCTTGCCTTCCTTCCTGCTCTGGGTCCTGGGCTGTGGGCTCCCCCACACCAGCACAGTGCTCTTGGAATCTAGGGTGTCAGAATGACTAGACTCGGGGTGGAATGTGTGTTCTCAAAACCCACCTCAGAGGGACAGGACTGGGGAATGCAGCCAACCTGAGCAAGGCCTTGCCAAGAGCAATGCACAAACACAACACACAAAGACTCATTCACACCACAAAAGGTTTAATCCCTTTCATGATTCTGGAAGAACTTGGCTAGGAACTGAGGCAGGATTTGAGGCGTGGACCCTGAGTTCTGTTTTTTCCCCACATCTAGGTATGAAGAGGAGGTAGCTCTGAGGGCTACCGCAGAAAATGAGTTTGTGGTTCTGAAGAAGGTGAGGGTCCACTTGCTGGACAGGGAGGGAGGGGAGTCACCTCCAGGCAGTCATCATGATGGCTGGACTACCTTGCATTGGACCCTTCCACATGTCCTTCCTTCCTCTCTGTCCCCTCAGGATGTGGACTGTGCCTACTTACGTAAATCAGACCTGGAGGCCAACGTGGAGGCCTTGGTGGAGGAGTCCAGCTTCCTGAAGCGCCTCTATGAAGAGGTAGAGACACTCACTCACGTGCCAGCAAGGATGGAAAAAAGAGGACACAGAGGTGGGGGTGGGGTTCAGGGTCCTAGGTCTGCGAGTGCTCAATCACATACCACATGCCCACACATGTGAAAAGGCCCCGCTATTCTGGGTATAGAGTGCTGGGTGCACATAGCTACGGTGCATCTGTATTCACGTGTGTAAGATAATAGTGCATGATATGTAGTCATCTCCTGGGTCTGTGGGTATCTCCCATGTTGGAGTGTGTTTGCATGCTAGACGACAGAGGAATATGAAGGTCTATGGGGATTCCACGTATGAAGGTTCATTCTGGACTAGTTACTATTTGGCATTCAGACCTTTGCCTGGGACTTCCAGTCAGGCCTTTCCCACACTTCCCCCATTTTCAGAGGCTGACCCCAGGGTAAGGTTTAGGGCTTCCAGCCTTGCTGTTTAACATTGTGCCTGTATGTGAACAAAGGTGGTGGGGGCCAGAATCACTGAGCTTCCTCATCAGAGCTCCACCAGTGAAGAAACACTGTCCCAGGGATGGAACACCAAGCCCAAAAGAGGCATCAAGCATAATGTTCTTCCTCTTGGGTCTGCAGGAGATCCGTGTTCTCCAAGCCCACATCTCAGACACATCAGTCATCGTGAAGATGGACAACAGCCGGGACCTGAACATGGACTGTGTTGTTGCTGAGATCAAGGCTCAGTATGATGACGTTGCCAGCCGCAGCCGGGCAGAGGCTGAGTCCTGGTACCGCACCAAGGTGAGTGCCTCCTAGTCATGGTTGTGGGAGCCATGCAAGGTGTCTGTTAGAAAAGGTTTCTTTTTCCTTAGTACTGGTAAAAAAAAAAAAGCTGACTGATCTCGGGGTCGGGTACCTAGCAAGGGCTGCTATGTGTAAATACTGCACATGCTGAGCACTGTACTTGCTGCACACTCATTGGCTGAGCACAGGACCTGCTGCACACTCATTGGCTGAGCACAGGACCTGCTGCACACTCATTGGCTGAGGGGGAGGTTGTTCTACTTTCCTTCTTAAACATCTGTCCCCCACCCTCAACTTCCAGTGTGAGGAGATGAAGGCCACGGTCATCCGGCATGGGGAGACCCTGCGTCGCACAAAGGAGGAGATCAATGAGCTGAACCGCATCATCCAGAGGCTGACGGCTGAGATTGAGAATGCCAAGTGTCAGGTAGGTCATAAGGCAGACTCAGATAAGTGATAAGCACAGGAAGGCAACAGGCGACATCACGGGGTGCTTTACTCACTAGAATGAAATGGCCTGTCTCTAATTAAGATTGAGAGGAAGCAGGAACCCAAGAGAAGACAGGATTCCTTCATATCACACAGCTGACACGCTCGGATGAGCAGAATCTCTGACTTTCAAGAGATGTAACCCATCCTCAGCCATTGCCCACAAGGAGAGATGAAGAATAGCCCAGCCACCTCCTCCTTGGGTTGCCAGCCCTATTAACTACCTGCCATGGATCATCACTAGGGCACTCACTTCCCTTGCTCTAAACACTGGGGACAGCCCCCCCACCCCATCTTGTTCTAACAAGATGTCCCTCTCTACCCCCACAGCGTGCTAAGCTGGAGACAGCTGTGGCCGAGGCAGAGCAGCAAGGAGAGGCCGCCCTCACTGATGCCCGCTGCAAGCTGGCTGAGCTGGAGGCTGCCCTACAGAAGGCCAAGCAGGACATGGCCTGCCTGCTCAAGGAGTACCAAGAGGTGATGAACTCCAAGCTGGGCCTGGACATCGAGATCGCCACCTACAGGCGCCTGCTGGAGGGCGAGGAGCACAGGTGAGTTGAGAAGAACCATGTGGGGGTTCATTTGAAGACCAAACTGTCCTGAAAAAACAAGCTGGTTAGGGCCTGTTAGTCCTTGCATGGAAGGGGCAGAGACCCTGGGCCTCCTGGCTAACGGTTTGGGCACAAGTGTGACATATAGCTCTGACCACACGACTCCAGGCCAGGCTTCAGTAATAATGGTTTCCTATCATGTATGCTCTATGTCAAGCACCCATTTATAATCCTCCATCCTGTCAAGTAAGTACCATTTTTCCTATCCAAAAACAGAGAAAGGATGACTCAATATTCAGCTCCTTTCCCACGGCCACAAAGTTACTAAGCTGCAGAGCTGGGACCCAACACTAGGTCCTGGGCTTCTGAAGCCCATTCCGAGTTTCCCTGGAGTTGGACTCATGTACAATACGGATGCTGTGCCCTGTATACCCCTAGCTCTGCCTCATGCTTACTGTGAGCACTTATTGGCATTCAGCAGGCTCAGGCACCAATGGCAGGCGTTGAGTGGCGGTCACGGTTCCACTCACTACTGCTCTAAGCTGGGAGGGCTGGTCTCCATGGATGGGGACACTTTAAAGACAGAAAATGAACATTTCAAGAAGATTTGGGAAGCCCTTCCTGCCTCTCAGGAGATAGCTCCAACCTAGAACAAAAGCTGGCCTTGTTTGTCCCCAAGCCACTGTCTCAAGGACCCAGGTCACTGATTAGAACTAATGGTGCTTTCCTTTCCCCTCAGGCTATGCGAGGGTGTGGGCTCCGTGAATGTCTGTAAGTATCTGCTGGAAAGGACCCCTAGAAAAATGGCTCTGGGTTGGGCAAAGCTGCAGCATGGGCCTACCCCACCAAACCTCCAACATTCCCAACTTTCAGTCCCCAGGCTCCTCCCTAATGACTACTGGTCAGGAAGGGGGGTTGAAGGTGGGGAAGAAAGGGTTGTAGGGCCAGGGAAGGAGGGAGGGTTAGCTTCAAAAACAGTTGAGCACCCATTAACTGGTGGCCACTAGACACTGCAGTCCAGGGAAATGGGTCCAGATGTGCCATGAGGTTGAAAGAATAGGACATGTCATGTTAGCCACTGATCCCTTGAGGATACAAGCCCCGCATGTGAAGCCCTCAGGCACCTGTGGTGGGTGGGTGACACCAGCAAGCCCCTTATCCTTCCCTGTTCCTCTTCCCACAGGTGTCAGCAGCTCCCGTGGTGGAGTCGCATGTGGGGGCCTCACATATGGCACAACCCCAGGGCGCCAGATTGGCTCTGGCCCCTCTGCCACTGGGGGCAGCATCTCAGTGATGGCCCCTGACTCCTGCACTCCTTGCCAGCCAAGATCCTCCAGCTTCAGCTGTGGAAGCAGTCGCTCAGTGCGCTTTGCTTAGTGCCAGGACCTGCAAATGGGATGTCTGTCTGCCCCAGAGTGGAGTGATGTGTGAATGGAAAATGTGTGCTTGCTTCCAGAATAATCTAGATGTTCCTATGGGAGGAAAGAGTCAGGGCCGCTCTCCTCCACCTTCTCCTTTTAGGGAGCTATTTCTTGGTTTTCCTCGGGCTTTACTTTAGAAGATATTCCCAACCCTCAGCCTAATTCCGACCTGTCTTCAAACACTTATAATTGATTTGTATCATTCACCAAGCCCTCTGGGACACTACCTGTCACCCAGCGTGGCTAAACAATAAAGCTTGGCCTTCGTGGGTCAAGGCACAGTCCTAACCACCCAGGCTTTCCTGCAAAAACTAAAGCACCAGAGGGAACCCTGCCCAAGAAGCTCCCATTTCTGGCCCCAGGTACATGGCCCCAGACACAGCAAGCACCTGCCTATCATTGGTTGTGTTTGGTCTCCTCCCTGACTGACTGCCTTCCTTGGGGCAATATGCTCTATCCATATTCTTTGGGTTGCCTCCCAGAAAACAGTCTGCTCTCTGGGGATTCCTGCTACCTACAGCTCCTGGCTAGGGAGCTTTGTTCTTGCTGTTCCTGACGCCTTTACACATTTCAAAGACTCCATATTTGCTCTAGGCCTCCCCTGCCTGTGCAGAAGGGAACTGGCCACGGGAGGGCTGATGGGATGGGGACTCTGAGGCCAATTTCTGGTTCTGTCTGTGGGTGCCTTGCCTTCTGGAGTGCCCCATCTGTGTTTCAATAAAGGCTGCTGCGATGCAAGGGTGTGTGGTGTTTTGTGCCAGTGTCTCCACTCCCTGCTGGTTTGCCTGCACCAACCAACCAGTCCTAAGCCAGCCCCACACTGGTGACTATTGCTTTGGAAAAGCCAGTATCACATGTCACAGGGTAACCTTCTCCACTCATCCCTGGGCCATCTCCTAGTCCGTTCCCACAGGCTGATCTACTTGTACTCCTCTGTTCCTGCTGGACTGGAACACAGTTCCTGTTCCCTCTGTAGCATCCTCCCCACCAAAATAAGCCTCCTGCTGTCTTAGTGTGGGTTACTATTGCTGTATGTTAACACCATAACCAAACCAACTTGGGGAGGAAAGGGGTTACCTGGCTTACACTTCCATATTACTGTCCATAACTGAAGGAAACCAGGACAGGAACTCACACAGGGCAGAAACCTGGAGGCAGGAGCTGATGCAGGAAAGATGCTTGCTCCTCCCAGCTTGCTCAGCTTACTTTATACTGAACCCACGGCCACTATGCGCCAGGCCTTCTCCTGCCAATCACTAGTTAAGAATTAATACCTATAGACTTGCCTAAAGCCCAACCAACCTTATGAAGGCATTTTCTCACTTGAGGGCCCTCCTCTCTGGTAAGTCTGACTTCTGTTAACTTGACATAAAACTAGCTAGCACACCTGTCTTTCAGCCCCACCATTCACATGCTCAGCAGCCAGAGCCCCATACAAATTCACTGCTACCTCCTACCACTGGGCTCGGATCACTCCCAGCACAGGCATGTGCTTCTTCGCCCACCAACTCCTAATTCCTGAGCAGCTTCCCTCCCAGTGAAGGTCCCCAGACCTCCACTCCACAAGGAGACAAGTCTGACCTCTTGAGGCTCCAGGACCACCTCACGGCCATCCAAAACAGACAGACACATGGGCCAGTCCTATACCCTTCGTTACCTGTACCTGTACTCAGTGATCTCTGCTTACCAGTTGCCACCACCTAGAGCCCTGAAGATATGTAGTTCTGCCCCCATGCCTTCAGGCCTTCTCCAAAGGCCAAGCAAGAAACATCTTAGGGACAGAAAGTGTCTCCTGCTCTGAGCCTTCACTAGGCTCCAGGGTGGAGCTCAGGTCATGCCAGAACTGTGATGTGTAGAGTGATCTCAAGAAGCTGAGAAAGTAGGAACCACTCAGCCCTCTCAGACTCCATCCCTGCATTAGAACACACTAGCTGTCGCTGTCATGGGGCAGGTCTGTCCCCCAGCCCCTCTGCTGCCCTACTCTCCTCCACCCCCATCCCCCAGCCTCCATCATTGGTAGAAGGTAAGACCTGAGTCGCTCTGCTGATTCCCAACTTCAAGCCGAAAGGATTGTGAGCCAGCTGGAGAATGCTAGCTGCTCCAATGAGGTTTGCCAGGTGAACCCCAACAGGCTCCTGCAAGCCCCTTGCCGTCCCCTCCTTCATCCCAACTCTCTGGGCCTTGACCACATCCATGGTCACTACATCACTTAAGTCAGATCATCCATCTACCAGAAGTCAGACGATGGCAGTGGGGTGGCTGGACTGCCAGGTCTTGGTGACATCTTAGGCCAGAAGTAGCCTTATGTTAGGGCCCTGCAGGGCTTCTGAGATGGAAGGGCTGCCTTTTCAGCCCTGCTGTATCCTGTGCTCCTGGGATGCTGAAGTGAGTCCAGGCTGGAGAAAACTTCTTGGTCTCAACAAGGGCATGGACCAAAGCAACCTGAGATAGGTAATCTTAGACCCGAACTGTGAGACCACGCACTGACTAGTGAAAAGGTCAGACTCTGGAGGACACAACGAAGCTTTTTAATGCTTCCGTGTTTGTGTGCACAGAACGGTCAACTGATTCAGCTAGACAAGGGTGATAATGAGGATGTCGTCCTCTCCTTCTGATACCCTGGCGCCAGCAGTAAGCACACAACATCAACTCTCAGGACCACAGGACTGGGGCTCTTGTAGCCTTCTTCTAACAAGAGCTATATTCCCTGAGCAAGGCAACAGGAAACACCCAAGTTTATTTATAGACTTTTTATTAGAAAACCAGTGAGTGATGTGTATAGTGCGTGTATATGGTGTGTGTGTTGCAGTGTGTATATGTGTGTGTAATGTATGTAATGTATATTGTGTAATGTGTAATATGTGTATATGTGTGTAGTATAGTGTGTAGTGTGTATATATATGTGTGTGTGCAGTGTGTGTAGTATGTGTATATAGTGTATATGTAATGTGTGTATGTGTGTAGTATGTGTATAGTGTATATAGTGTATGTGTAATGTATGTATGTGTGTAGTATGTGTATATGTGAGTATAGTGTATGTGTAACGTATGTATGTGTGCAGTGTGTGTATATGTGTGTAGTATGTATACATGTATATATGTGTGGTGTGTGTATATGTGTGTAGTATACTGTATATGTACAAGTTATGTACATGTGTGTATAGTATGTGTAATGTGTTTAGTGTGTGTAGTATGTGTAGAGGATGTGTATGTGTGTATACTGTGTATGTAGTATGTGTTTAGTATGTGTATTTGTGTGTGTAGTGTATATGTATGTAATATGTGCAATGTGTGTGCAGTGTGTATATGTATGTATATGTGTATATAGTGTGTGTGTGGCGTATGCGTTTATATGTACAGGGTCTGTGGTTAGTCCTTTCCTTGCACACTCCCCACCTTATCTATGAGACAGGGCCTCTCTCTGACCCTGGCACTCACTGATTGGCTAGCCTGCATTGGGGTTACAGCTGCCCCTGGCTATGGCCCACCTTTTATGTGGGTCCCTGTGCTCGCCCAGCAGGTCCTCTACCCACTCAGCTCCCCAAGAAGAAATATTGAAAGAAGTGCAGGTCTCTGAGACCGATAGATTAAGGAGAAGCCAGAAAGTGAGCGACCTAAGTGACAGGAGGGTCTGCCTACTTTTCCTGTGAAGCACAGACTGAGCTAGCAGCTGCATCAGAGAACTCAGACCTCTGCAAGTAACTGTTTCAATGGTGCGTGTTCTCCCCAAACACAGTTTCCAGCGAAAGCGTGGATTGCAGATCTTCCAAAGTAACCATAAGCCCCTGCTAATCCCTGCTCATTTTTCCTTGTTCACGAGCCAAGGAAACTCCAGTGTGCCCCATCATTCCATTAGTGCTAACGGCAAAGACGGTGAAAGGGGAGAAGCCAGGGAAGAGAGGGGCAGGGGCAGCACAGAGGTGCACGTATTCAACATGATGTCATCCCAAAGCCAGGGAAGAGAGGGGCAAGGTCAGCACAGAGGTGCACGTATTCAACATGATGTCATCCCAAAGCCCAAACTGGTGAGTGTGTCCTCTGTTCCATCACTGTCACTGGTGCCCTTGCTACTACCACCACCATCAACACAACCACCATCAACATCACCATTGTCACTACCACCATCACCATGGCTACTGACACCATCAACACATGCACAACTGTTACCACGGCCATTATGGTGGTTTGAATGAGAATGGCCCTCATGGCTCATATATTGGAATGTTTGGTTCCAGTTGGTGGAATGTTTAGGAAGGACTAGGAGGAGAGGCCCTATTAGAAGACATGTGCCACTGAGGGTGGCTTTGAGCTTTTAGATGACCACATCAAGCCTCTCTCTCTGTCCCTCTCCCTCTTCCTCTCCTTCTATACCTCTCTCCCTCCCTCTCTCTCCCCTTCTCTCCCTCCCCCTTTCTCTCTCTATCTCTCTCTCCCTCTCCCCTTCTCTGCTGTTTGTGGATCGGGTGTAAGCTCTCACCTATGGCCCCAACACCATGACTGTCTGCCTGCCATACCCCCAGTCAAACATTTTTTTGGATAAGTTGCCTTGGCCATGGTGCCTCTTCACGGCAATAGGAATGTAACTACGACAACCACCATTACCACCATTGTTACCACTGCCTCATCACCCCCATCTCTACTACACCATCACCATGGCTACCAACATTATCACCTCCATCTCTTTTACCCATCATTATGACTACCACCACCATCATAATCACATCACCAAAACCACCATCACCATAACTGCCACCAGCCACCGCCATCACCATAACTACCACCAGTCACCACCATCACCATAACTATCATGAGCCACCACCATCACCATAACTATTACCAAGTACCACCATCACCATAACTACCACCAGCCACCACCATCACCATAACTATTACCAGGTACCACCATCACCATAACTACCACCAGTCACCACCATCACCATAACTATTACCAAGTACC